CAAGAGCAGTGCAGCGAGGCCCTAGATGTCTCCTGGCTAGAAAAGGAGAAAAAAAGCAATCATAGACTCAAATATTGAACAATGAACAGTGCTGCAAGGTTAGACAAAATAATTTTCTGTTTCCTTCGCTTCACAACACATTAGGGCCAGATCCCACTGGCAAAGAGAATGGCTTGAAAACCTGAATCTGGACGTGTTGTGGAGACGTGCAGATGCTTGCAATTGCTCTGCTTTTCTGCATCTGGACGTAAAACGCATCCAGATTCAGGTGCTTCGTCCAATTTTCTTGGCTGGTGGGATCTCGCCGTTATTCAAGAAATCTCCTAACCCAGGGAGCGTTTGCTCGACACCATTTCGTTTTTCTGTTCTGGTACTGCAAAAAAAAAAGGAGGAAAAAAAAAAGAGAAGAAGAAAAAGCAAGAGAAAGCATCCCTACGGCCCTGATAGCCGTCAAATGCATTCTATGAAGTGCAAGTGTGAGGGCAGACTCACACCAGCCCCTCAAAATCTCAAAATTGGAAAATGAGAGGCCAGATTGATGAGTCCTTGCAAACAAATGACTCCTGTTGCAAACAAACGACTCCATCAGGCCGCTGATTGTGCAATTTTATGATTTTGAGGGCCGACTGTGACTATACTTAGTTTCAAAGCAGACTGGTATTGGTACCCTGGGGCCAAGTCCCACTTAACACGGTTGATTTAAGCCAGCTCAACGGTGTGACAGTGTTTTTCAAATTTTTTATTGTGAAGAAATGTGGAAAATGAATTTAGAGACAACTGCGCCTGTGACAGCTGCACAGTTCATAATTTGCAGAAATAACAGTCCACTTAGAAACTGTAAGAAAAACAGTAAATCATGCGTTCTACGGCCAACTGGTTCAATGACTCACAAAACCGGGAGCTGGCGGTAGGAGGTGGCGGTAGCAGTTACTGGCAGCACGCCCCCCCGTTTTTGGCCCGTCTCCCCAGGTGTGTGGCCTACGCATCTCGGCCATGGCCTAGACATCTCGGCCGTGGCCCAGCCACAGGTGTGGCCTAGGCATCTCTGCCGTGGCCCAGCAATGGCCGTGGCCAAGACACATCTCGCCCATGCTCGAGCCACGGGTGTGGCCTACAGTGCCTACACAGCTCGGCAGCGGCATAAGCAGGCGTGGACCAAAAAAAAGTCAGGCCCGGACAAAAAAAAAAAAGGTTGCAGGCCCCCCCAAAAAAAACAAAAAACAAAACACATGACTGGCCACCTTATTTTGCCACTTGCGTACTTCCAACGTCTAGAAGTGCACAAAGCTGTTAGGGTAACAGTTCTTTCTGCCCTCCCTCGGCCCAGAACCCCTGCAGTCCGGAAAGTGTAAGTGTGTGTGTGTGTGTGTGTGTGTGTGTGTGTGTGTGTGTGTGTGTGTGTGTGTGTGTGTGTGAGAGAGAGAGAGAGAGAGAGAGAGAGA